CTGTGCACTGCTGTATTGCCCTCCCAGCAGATGTCAGGGTGATTGAAGTCCCCTGTGAGAACTGGGGCCTGTGATCGGGAAATTTACAATACCTGTTTGAAGAAAGCCTCATCTACCTCTTCCTCCTGGTCTAGTGGTCTATAGCAGACATTCATCATAATATCACACTGTTACACAAATTACCAATTTGCTCAAATGATGAGCAAGACCTTATGAGGGGGATAAGGCAAGATGCCACGTTTATTGACTGGAATATTCTAAAGAGCACTTATACGTACACTCTCACACACTCACTCCCAATCACTCTGCCGATGTTATAGTTACCAAAGTCCATTGCTCAATACTGCACTAGGTGTCCAGCCTAGGAGTATGAGATAAGGAGTGGAGCATACAGATGCGTCTGTGCTTCAGTTGTTACCCAACCTCTTGCTGCTAAGTCTCTCTCCTTTATAGGGGTTATCAAGTTGGTGTTGGGTGTCTGGTCTGCCTTTTCTGATTCTGTGCCTCCTTTGTCTGAATCTCAGTACTTTTCCATCCTGACAAGTGGTCAGGCTTATGCTCTTCAATCACTCTGTTTACAACATTCTTCCATTATCGCTGGTGTAGGCTGTGTCTGGCACAAAAGGGGAGATGTTGCAGACCTTGTCTTCAATCTTGTCTTTTCTACTTATCTTTACTCTTCTCCTGGTACAGACTTACCTCTTCAGCCTTTTCAGCATGATTCACCATTTGGTAACTTGTTTATTGACACATAGCTTACTCTGCTTTTACCAATCATTCTATACTAATTCATCTATACATCCAAATACAAAATTAGTATATTTGTTTTACTATAAATATAAAGGTACAATAACAGACTTAATTCATACAAACAAACTTAAAATCACTACAACCCTTGTTCCTCTCTCTCTCCTCTCTGACCCTAACCCAGAGACTTGGAATGGATCTATCTCCCATTTCATAGTGGAGCTCTGAGCAGTCATGCAGCTCTTTCTACATAAAGCGCAACTCTTCCTTCTCTTCTCCCCTGCCTGTCCTTCCTGAATAATTTATAACCCGCCATTGCAGTGCTCCACTCATGCGAACTATCCCATCAAGTCTCTATTATTCCAATCACGTGATAGTTCCTTGACTGTGTGAGGACTTACAATTCTTCCTGCTTGTTTCCCAGCTCCCTACATGCGTGTATGGGCAACTGATGTAACTAGCCAAATGCCCTACTTTCTCAGGAAAAATGAGAAAGCCTGTCCTGTTGTCCCCTCCTGCTTGTGCTTCCTCCAGGTCACTTGCATCCCCACTTATGTCAGGGCTTTGGTCTCCATCCCCCAGCGATCCTAGTTTAAAGCCCTCCTCACCAGGTTAGTGAGCCTGTCTGCAAAGATGCTCTTCACTTTCTTCGTCCAGTGGATCCTGTCTCTTCCTAGCAATCCTTCTTCTTGGAACAATATCTCATGGTCAAAGGAGCAAAGCCCTGCTGGCGACACCATCTGTGCAGCTGTCATTTGATCTGCAAGATGTGTCTGCTCTGGCTTGGGCTCTTCCCCTTGACCAGAAGAATCGAGGAGAACATTACCTGAGCCCCTGTCCCCTTCACACTTGCACTCAGATCTCTGTAGTCACTTTTGATCTGATCCCCTGGCAGTATCATTGGTTTCCACATGGATGAGCAGCAGCAGATAGTGAGCAGAGGGCCAGATGAGTCTTGGTAATCCCTCTGTAACATCTTGGATCCAGGCTCTGGGCATGCAGCAGATCTCCTGAGACAACAGGTCAGGTTAGCAGATGGATGCCTCTGTTCCCCCCAGAAGGGAGTCTCCAACCACTACCACCTGTTGCTGCCTCTTGGTGGCAGTGGTCTCAAGTCTTCCAACCTTGGGGGTGCCTGGCCTGGCCTCTTCCACCAATGGGACATAGATTTAATAGATTTTTAGGGTTGGAAGGAAGATCATCAAGTCTGACCCCCTGCCCTGGGCAGGAAAGAGCGCTGGGGTCAGATGACCCCAGCTAGGTGCTTGTCTCATCTCCTCTTAAAGACCTCCAAGGTAGGAGAGAGCACCACCTACCTTGGAAACCTGTTCCAGATTTTGGCAGCCCTCACCGTAAGAAAATTTTCTTCATGTCTAATCTAAATCTGCTTTCTGTCAGTTTACGGCTATTGTTCCTAGTAACTCGAAGGGGAGCCCAGGTAAGCGGAGTATTCCCTATTCCTTGGTGCCCTGCCCGATGAATTTGTAGACGGCCAGAAGATCCCCTCTCAGCCTTCTTTTGCTGAGGCTGAAGAGATTCAGGTCCCTCAATCTCTCCTCGTAGGATCTTACCTGCAGGCCCTTAACTATACGAGTAGCCCTCCTCTGGATCCTCTCAAAGTTATCCACATCCCTCTTGAAGTGCAGCGCCCAGAACTGGATGCAGTACTCCAGCTTTGGAGGGGGGGAGTATCACCTCCTTAGACATGTTTGTGATTCACCTTCTAATGCATG